TCATTCAGTGGCTGTGAAAAATCATGATGAGACACTTTGTGAAAGATAAACCTTCCCAATGAGCAGAGCTTCAGGAGATGCACCTGGTCATCCACTTCATATGACAGAGAAAGTGATCTAAAGTCAAAACATATACGGGTTTTTGCCAATGGGGAGTGGTCTGGGGCCTGGAAGGAGACAAATTTAAATATTAGAGATGAGAATGTCTGGAAAAGAGACATGTAGACAGACATAAGAGTAGGAACAAGGTGTGAAGATTTTTATATTGTATTTTAATACTCATCAGAAAGTATCCACGTGGTCTGGGAACCAAGTGGCCAAGCTACAAAGTAACTGGACTAGTTGCCATTCAGATGACACGATCACAGTGAAAGAGACGGAGGCTTTGCATGGGTCAAAAAAACACAACTTCCACCTATGAAGGCCAATCTAGTGGTTGCCTGCTTTGAATGACCAACCCACCAGCATCAGACACCAACACTGAGCCACCCGTATGGCACTATTCTTTAAGGAGACTAACTGGTCACTTGGCAGCAAATGAACCACATGGGGCCATTTTCATCTTGGAAGAGGTAGCGGGTTTTCTCATAGGAATAGAAACTTAATCTGGGTATGGGTTTGCTTTTCCTGCCAGCACTATCAAGCTACTTACAGAATGTCTGATCTACAAACATGAATCAAAATAGTATCTAATCAGGGAACTCATTTTACAGATCCACTGGTCATGCTATATAGTGTGTCATCTAGAGGCTGCTGGCTAAATAGAGTGGCCAAGGTACGGCTGCAGCACCAACTCAGTGGCAACACCTTGCAAGGATGCGGATATCATCCTCCAAAACATGTAAAAACACTGAATTACAGAACTCTATGTAGCACTATGTCCCAAGAGGAAGAATATATGGGTCCAGGAACCAACGAGTGGAAGGAGGAGTGGCCTCACCATCACTTTGGATGACCAACTGAATTTTGCAAGGTTAGAGGTCCTGATCTTCAAAATGGTATGTTTTTTATCATGAGATAGCAAAGATTGCATTGAACTATAAGCTACAGCTGCCACTTGGACACTTTGGGCCCTTTATGGCCAGAAAGCAGCAGGCAAGGAGAGGAATCACTACCTTGTTAGGAGTAATTAACACTGATCCGCAGGAGGAGGCAAGGCTGTGTTGCATGATGGGAGCAGGGAGGAATGCGCATTGAACTCAGGTGGCCCACTGGATGCCTCTTGGACCGCTCTTTCCTAATTGTGACAAATGTAATGATGTAGGAATGGAGGCTATCCATGGGTAAGGTCACCAGGAGTCCAGACCCCTCAGGAGTAGGAGCTTGGGAAACATCACGTGAGCCAGAGTGAGGGACTTTCGAACAGACAGTGCAGGAGAGAGATGACAAGTACCAGTTTTGGCTATGAGATCAACCACAGCCGCGAGGCCACAGTTTGTCTCTTCACCTCCCTCTTCTAACTTTCCCCTCCGCAAGAGGAGCCAGCCAGAGCCACGGAGGTGCTCCCCCAATGTGTCAGGAAGTGAATCCACTGAGCGCACAAGGTAAACTGTGGCAGACGTGCAGAGGCGGCAATCAGGTCATCCTTTAAGGACTCTGGGGCGCCTGGGTGGTGCAGTCCGTTGTGTTTGACTCTTGGTTTCAGCTCAGGTCATGATCTCAGGGTCATTGGATCAAGCCCCACGTCAGGCTCTGGGCTCAGTATGGAGTCGGCTTGAGTTTCTCTCTTCCTCTCCCACTTGCATGCACACACTCTCTTTCTCAAATAAAGAAATAAATAAATCTTAAAAAAAAAAAAAAGGACTCACTCCAGCTGCAAGGAATGTGGTTAGCTGAGTCTCCAGCTTTGTTGTCTTGACAGTCAACTTCAGATTATCATTGGGTGCTTTTCTCAGGGTGGTCCCCCATCAATGACTGAGGAAGGCCTAATCATTCTTACTCGATGGGGCACTTCTAAGGGAATAATCTTTGCTCTGGAGTTCCCTCCCTGTTGGGGTGGTTTGCCCAATCCTGCTTCTGCCCCTTTTCTTTCATAGGTGCTACCCCCTCATAAACTTCTGCAATTCAAATTTCTTTTGAGTGTCTGTCTGCTTCTGGGAGAATCTAACTGGGACAGATGCATCCATTAGACCCCTGAACTCAAGTCATTCCCTGTTCCCAGTCCTGGGATGTATGACTAAGTAATTGAACCGTTGTTTTCTCACGTGTAAAATTAAAGATTTATTCCCCTCGTAAGTACATCATATGGTTGTTAAGATAAATACGTGCAAGAAAATGCTATGGCATTTGAAAATTCCTATGTAAATGGTTAGTTTTTATTAAAAGGCCTAAAGAATTAAAGCATTACCCAGATCACCCAACAATTCTCAATAGTTAAAAATTAATTATGATAATTGTTTTCAAGCCTTTTCAAAGCTGGTAAGGTGTATGTGGTTTTCTGTGGGGATATCTATTCCCAGGGAGTAATTTATACACTCAGAGATCTTGCTTGACAATTAGATACATACCTAGATAAAGAATTGTAGAGTTCTACAGTAACCTACCATGAGAATTTTGGTTTGTTTCTTTTCATTTCTAGTATGACAATTATTAAGATAAAGGAAATGAGAAGCATTGAACAACTCTTTTGACAAAACATAACAGTCTTTAGGGAAAATAATTAAAACCTGTGTGACCATGAAACAAGTTTCTTTAGCACTATTGTGATGATATAATGTATCATCTGTGGATAAATATTGCAGTTTTAATATATATATAAATCAAAATATTTCCTATAAACATATTCCTTTAGTACTCATTCTTGGTATTCATACTTATCTATAGTATATTACAAGAAGAGATCATTACTTTTTATCAGAAAAACTTTTAGTAGTATTTTTTTAGCAGAAAAGATAGGTAAGTTTTCCATGATGTGCTAGCTAGTGTTTGCTTAGCTGGTGGTACAGATTTGCAATGGGTTTTCTGACTCTCTTCTTGCCTTTCAAAAGTTGTATCTCTGATTTGCATTTGAGAGTTGGCACAAGTTCTGTTACAAACTTTCAAAATTTGTGGTTCCACATCAAGAATTGTAAAAAAGGGATCCCTGGATGGCTCAGCGGTTTAGCACCTGCCTTCTTCAGCCCAGGGCATGATTCTGGAGTCCCGGGATCGAGTCCCATGTTGGGCTCCCTGCATGGAGCCTGCTTCTCCCTCTGCCTGTGTCTCTGCCTCTCTCTCTGTGTCTCTCAATAAATAAATAAGATCTTAAAAAAAATCGTAAAAAAAAAGTTTTAAAAACCTGTCCTGGATCCCTGGGTGGCTCTGAGGTTTGGTGCCTGCCTTTGGCCCAGGGCACGATCCTGGAGTCCCGGGGTCCTGGGATCGAGTCCCTCATCAGGCTCCCGGCATGGAGCCTGCTTCTCCCTCCTCCTGTGTCTCTGCCTCTCTCTCTATCATAAATAAATAAATAAATAAATAAACAAACAAATAAATAAATATTTAACAAAACAAAACCTGCCCTTTCCCCTTTTTGTGCATCCTGCCCAAAGTAAAAAAAAAAAAAAAATTTCTTTTTGTCTAAGCAGATCTGTAGGTGTGTAATGTCCATCTGAGCAAAAGGGCTAAAACTTTTGGTTGTTTGTTCAGATGTCAGTGTACTGAAGTAAGTGTAGCTGACGATGCATCTTTAACCCAAATGGTTTTGCATAATCTGAGAAATATGGATAAAAGTAAAATTCCCGTTGTACTTTACCATGGATGCAGAATACCTGCACTATCAACTTGGCGCTAATAGGAGAGAATGCCAATAATATAGATTATAAGATCCACCAGGCAATTTTAAAAAATGTGTTTTATCATAGTTCAGCATAATTCTTCAGAATCACATGATTTTTTTTCCTATGTGCATTTTGGGGTCTCTGGTAATTGAATACAACTTGAGAAGGGCTTACTCCGGTGACCTGGAAACGAGGTCCCCAGAAGAGCAAGCACACAGTGATGAAACCTGAAGCAATGAAGCCCCGCTGAGCTGAAATGGAAACATTCATTGTATTAGGACACGACTGAATTTTCATTTAACTTTGTTTTGTTGTTCCACTGGGCTGTCTTCAGATCTTAAATTGCGTTCCGGGGGTGTTACAGGAGAATTCACAGTCTGGGGTGCGCCACTAAAGTCTAGCTCGCAGCCCGGGTAGTGTTTCTGAGCGCTTTCTGAATACGGTTACCTGTGCCCACTCCCCCGGGAGAAACGAGGCACATTTACATGTCAGGGTCCCTTCGAATGACCGGAGTTCGAAAAACCTGCGGTTCCTACGCTTTTTTCCATTCCCCCCCCCCCCACCCCCGAGGCTCGAGGCCACCTGCACCGCAAGAAACACCTGCCCCGCGCTCACCGTCCCCGGAGCACCCGCTGCGCAGCGAGGCTGCGCGGAACGGAGGACGGGAGGGCGCGGCCCCTCCGGGGCGGGGGCGGGGCCGGCGCGGGGGCGGGGCCGGCGCGGGGGCGGGGCCGGCGCGCGCGGGCGGGGTGTGCGCGCCGCCGCCGCGCCGCCGCGTCACCAGCGTGCGGCACGTGCCCGTGTTTACGTCCCTCGTGGAGCAGCCGACGTCAGCAGCCAAATGGCAACATTGTGGCGCTCCTGAGGCTCGGAGTTTGGGAGACGCGTCTCTCAGTCAGGCCGGCTCGCGGCGGTCGGGCAGCGGAGGGGGGGCAGGAGGGGCGGGGAGCTCGGCCCGGGCGAGCGGCGGAGGCGCGCACATCGCCGGCCCCGGCCCCGCGGGGCCGCTCGTCGCCTTCCGAGAGCCGCAGACGCAGCGCCGCGGCCTCGCGCTGGGGGCGGCCGGGACCCGCGCGAGGCGCTGCGGCAGCGCCGGGCTTGTAAACAGATCCAGCCGCACGTGACCATGTGAACTACCTGCTCCGGGGACGCGTATTGTCTTCACCGTGCGCCGCTGCCACAAAGGAGCGCGGCGGCTTGGAGCGCGGAGCCCCGGGCGAGCGAGGCGAGGGAGCCGGCCGGCGCGCTAAGATGGCCGAAGGCGCCCGGCGGGGGTGAGCGGGGGGCGCGGTGCAGCCAGCCGGGGAGCCCGCGGGCGGGCAGGCCAGCGGCGCCTCCCCCGCGGCCACCATGTCGTTCGCGCTGGAGGAGACGCTCGAGTCGGACTGGGTGGCCGTGCGGCCGCATGTGTTCGACGAGCGCGAGAAGCACAAGTTCGTCTTCATTGTGGCCTGGAACGAGATCGAGGGCAAGTTTGCCATAACCTGCCACAACCGGACGGCCCAGAGGCAGAGGAGCGGCTCCCGGGAGCAGGCGGGGGCGCGAGGGGGCGCCGAGCCCGCAGCGCCAGCGCCCGACGGGGCCCGCGGGCCGGGCAGCCCAGCCGGCAGGGGCCGGCCCGAGGCCGCCGCCTCTGGGACTCCGGGCAGGAGCCCCGGGCCCCGGAGGAGCCCGGCCTGGGCGGACGGCGGCTCCCCGCGGAGCGCGCGCGGCCCTCGGGGCGACCCGTCGCTGCGCTGTGCGGCCGGCAGAGGGGCGGAGAGCCCCCTCAGGAGCCCGGGGCGCGCCCAGAGCGGGCCGGCCCGCAGGGGCCCCGAAGGCAGGGACGCGGCCGAGGCAGCCCCGCCGGCAGCCCCGCCGGCGCCCAGGGAGGCCCCGGTGTCCTCGGTGCGAGTCGTGAGCGCCTGCGGGGCTGTCTCCGAGGAGATAGAGGTGCTGGAAATGGTGAGGGAGGACGAGGTGGCCCCGGCGGCCCTGGCGCTCTCGGACGCAGAGCAGCCGCCCTCCGGCGCCGAGCTGGAGCCCCCGGCCGAGGAGTGCAGCTGGGCCGGGCTCTTCTCCTTCCAGGACCTGCGCGCTGTGCACCAGCAGCTGTGCTCGGTGAACTCGCAGCTGGAGCAGTGCCTGCCCGTGTTCCCCGAGGAGCCCTCTGGCATGTGGACCGTGCTGTTCGGGGGCGCCCCAGAGATGACCGAGCAGGAGATCGACACTCTGTGTTACCAGCTCCAGGTCTACCTGGGCCACGGCCTGGACACCTGCGGCTGGAAGATCCTGTCCCAGGTGCTTTTCACCGAGACCGACGATCCCGAGGAGTATTACGAAAGCCTGAGCGAGCTGCGGCAGAAGGGCTACGAAGAAGTGCTTCAGCGGGCCCGGAAGCGCATCCAGGAGGTAAGAACCCAGGCTGGGCTGCACCTCCCTGCTCCTGGTTACTCGCTGCTGGAGGCTGGCGCCTCGGCCCGGGCTCGGAGCGTTTGGGAAACTTGTTCTACCGGGCAAGAGGAAGACGGCGGGTTCCCTACCGATCTACCCCTTACTTTGAGTGGTGGGAAAACCGTGACATTCCCTAAAGGAACTTGCATCAGTCTTTGGAATTCCTCTTCCCATATAGAAGATAGGTTCTGTAGCACAAGGGACGTGTTTACTACTCAGTGCTGGAAGTAGATTAAAGCCACTCAGAAAAAAAAAGGCGTCCCAGAGACATTCAGCGTTCCTTTCTCTTTTTGCCTCTTTTCCAGCAATGATTGCCCATATAGTAATCCTACTTTTTTGATGTCCTCTTCATTTATTCAGAATAGTTTGTACTAGAGAATGAAGTCGGTCTTTTTTTTTTTTTTTTCTTCTAATTTCCATTTGTAGTTTGTCAACTTCGGCAAATTTTAAATTCGTTTTCCTTCAAATGAGCAGCTTGTCGAAATGAAGAAGCAACAACTCTCAGTGGGATGCTGAAATTTTTAAAGGTTTATGTATAGTCTCAAGTCTTTAGAGCTGGCTGCTTTAGGGATGAAAAAGGTCCTGTTTTAGGGATGAAAAAGGTCTTGGGCAGGAATGCTTTTACTTTTGTACCTGTAAAAGTAATATAAAGCTTATTCAAAGTATCTTACACTTAAAATTACAGGAAATAATGGAGAAGGTCTGCATGGGTATGCATGAGGACGGCTATAATTTGTAGGATATGCATAATTGGAGGTCAGTCCTAACAGCTTCTGATGAAGGAACTGTACTAAAAAAAGTATTTTAAAATACATTTTAGTTTTTGGGTCACCCGGCTGGCTCAGTCGATAGAGCATGCAACTCTTTACCTTGGGGTTGTGAATTTGAGCCCCACATTGGGTGTAGAGATTACTTAAAAATAAAAAAATCTTGAAAAATATATACTTTAGTTTTCCCTAATGGGCACTACAGATACTTCCTGAAAGCTTTTTTTTTTTTTTTTTTTAAATTTTTTTTGTTTTATTTATTTATGATAGGCACACAGTGAGAGAGAGAGAGGCAGAGACACAGGCAGAGGGAGAAGCAGGCTCCATACACCGGGAGCCCGACGTGGGACTCGATCCCGGGTCTCCAGGATCGCGCCCTGGGCCAAAGGCAGGCGCCAAACCGCTGCACCACCCAGGGATCCCTGAAAGCTTTTTTTAGTACTAGTACCAGTTGAGGTTAGAGGTGGGGTGGGGAAATGCCCGTTTTTATGGTGTTTATATTCCTGACATTGTGTTGTCATCTGTTAGCCTTGCCTGTGTTTATTGAATACTTGAATCCTGCTATAAAGGCTTGGAAGTTAGTACCTTCCTGGTTTCTACATGGAATAGTACATATTTTTCATTGCTAAATTTGGGGACTTAGGAAAAAAATATTTTCTCCCTTACCTACAGTGCTCTCTGACAATTTCCTGGTTTTCACTCCTTCCAGTTTACTTTGTGCTAAGTATCACCCATCAAGTAACACCCACCAAGTAATGTGATCAGAGAGTTCTAGGGATCGGTTTTTATTTCCTTCTTTATCATCTACTTCTGGAGACTGTGTTCTACTTTAATTCATTTTGAAAGGAAATGACAAATTTTAAATGGTCATGTACATTCTTATTCTCTTTTGAGTTTTGTTAATACTGACCTGTGTTTCTTTCCTTTTTTTTTTTTTTTTTTTAATTTTTAAATGATTTTATTTGTTCATGAGAGGCAGAGACACAGGCAGAGGGAGAAGCAAGTTCCTGAGCCGGAGGCAGACGCTCAACCACTGAACCACCCAGGCGTTCCGACCTGTATTTCTTTTTTAACTGCGTGGACAAAACTAGTACTTCTTTCTCTTATACTTGTTTGTTAAGCTTTATATTTCTTTTATTTTTTTTTAAGATTTTACTTGCTTGAGAGAGCGGGTGCACACAAGCTGGGGTTTGGGAGGAGGCGGTGGGAGAGGGAGAGAAGCAGATTCCCTGCAGAGCAGAACGCCTGGGGTGGGCGGGGCTTCATCCCCCTGGGATGGAGCCTTTAGAGGAAGGCAGATGCTTAACCAACTTACTGAGCCACCCAGGCACGTCTAAACTTTATATCTTATATAAATGATGTAGACTTGTTTAGTTTTAATTTCATTGACATTCAGAAAAAGTAATTTTTACCTGTTCAAATAGGGTAAAAAATGAAAGTTGCCAAAGAATAGTTAATTACAGTTTCTGGAACTCTTTCATGGGTGTGGAGGGTTACATTTTTTTAAAAAGACGATCTTTTCCTAATTAAGGTTATATTGACCATGATACTGCATTCTCTTTAACACAAAGAAATTTAAAAATTTAAGGAGTATTTTGTGTTTTGAAAGATCACTCAAGTGAAGTTTATTATAAATTCATTGGAAATTTTATATATATAAATTGTTGGTGCTTCATTTTGTTGATTCGAATGGTTTTTGAAAAATACCAAGACAACAAATAGATTAAGTTTATATTGAAAGAAGTGAAGCTCTGGGGAGAAAGGGTGGTATGATTAATTAGTAATGTCTGCTGTGGGCAGGATAATTGGAGTGTAAGAGCATGCCAGCATGTTTTTTTGTTGTTCCTTAGCTGCTTAAATTTTTTACTATTGTAATAGTTTGCAGTAGCTTTTTTTAGGTAAGATATTTAAGAAATTGTGTCATTTTTGCGCTATTTATTATATTTAGTAATCATATGTAATTTACTGTTTTGTTTTTTTTTAAATATTTTTTTAAATTTTTTATTTATTTATGATAGTCACAGAGAGAGAGAGAGAGAGAGAGGCAGAGACACAGGCAGAGGGAGAAGCAGGCTCCATACACCGGGAGCCCGACGTGGGACTCGATCCTGGGTCTCCAGGATCGCGCCCTGGGCCAAAGGCAGGCGCCAAACCGCTGTGCCACCCAGGGATCCCCCAATTTACTGTTTTTTTTCCCAATTCTGCAGTTGACTTAATTTGTGGAAGTGGCTATAGGTGTTCAAGCCAGGTGTATCTGATAAATCAAACATTCTTAGGTATGTTATAGGTATTTTTTAGGTATATGTTACTTAGAAAATTTAGTCTTTTGATTGTTTTTCCTTTAATTTCTCTCGTTCTATTTTTGCCCCTCCCCCCATATTCTTTTTCCTATCTAAAGAGTTCAGCTTAAAGACCACACCTGTTTTTGTTCAAAATGGTCAGTCAGTTGTGGAAAGGAGGTTATTTATTTATTTTTAAAGGTTTTATTTATTCATGAGAGACACACAGAAGCAGAGGGAGAAGCAGGCTCCATGCAGGGAGCCCAACGTGGGACTTGATCCCCGGTCTCCAGGATCACACCGTGGCCCAAAGGCAGCGCTAAACCGCTGAGCCACTCAGGTTGCCCTTGTTTTTTTTTGTTTTTTTTTTTTTAAAGTAGAACAGACTGTACAACTAGATTGTAAACTTCTCAAGGTCACTGGCCTTGACAGTAGCTTGGAATTCTCTTTGCCATCCCTAGTTCAGGGCCATACATCTTGTCAGCACTCTTTAGGATTTGTGGACCAAGGCCAGAAGTGTTTTTATTTTTGTTGTTGCCATTTATTTATTTATTTATTCATTCATTCATTCATTCATTCATTCATTCATTTATGATAGTCACACAGAGAAAGAGAGAGAGGCAGAGACACAGGCAGAGAGAGAAGCAGGCTCCATGCACCGGGAGCCCGACGTGGGACTCGATCCCGGGTCTTCAGGATCGCGCCCTGGGCCAAAGGCAGGCGCCAAACCGTTGCGCCACCCAAGGATCCCCTTTTTGTTGCCTTTTAGCGTTACAAGTATTTAGTTTTTAAAATACTTTATCAGAGAGAGAGCACGAGCGCTTAAGCACGGGTAGCATGCTGGAGTGGGGGTGTGCACGCTCTGAGGGTGAGAGGGAGAAGTGGACTGACTCCCAGTAGAGTCTGGAGCCTGACTTGAAGCTAGATCTCAGGACTCTGACATCATGAATTTAGCTAAAGTCAGACACTTATTGACCGAACCATCCATGCACCTTCCCCCGCCCCCCAGCGTTAGAAGAATTTAACCAGAAGAGTCTTTTTGATTTAAAGTTGTGGGTACATAAAATTTTATAAACTGATGAATGTAAATTCTGCATAAGGGACCATGGCATTTAGAAACTGAGAGTTAAATCTTTTAAAACTGTAAATAACTTTCTAAATAAGGGGTCTTTTTTTTTTTTAAGATTTTATTTATTTATTTCTTCATGAGAGACAGAGAAAGGCAGAGACACAGGCAGAGGGAGAAGCGGGCTCCATGTGGGGAGCCCGATGTGGGACTCGATCCCGGGACTCCAGGATCACACCCTGAGCCGAAGGCAGGCACTCAACCACTGAGCTACGCAGGTGTTCCTAAATAAGGGGTCTTTATTTGGGTTTGGGAATTCCTTATAAATTGAGGGGAGCTATAGTTGGATTTTAATGGGGTGCCGTAAACTAAAATGCTAATTTTATATGCGTTTTTGGAGAGAGCCTTTTATCAAATTCTTTAAGATGTTCTTCAAAAAGAACTTTAAAACCATAATTGTGTATCATTTGCTTTGTAAACTTTGGGCATACCTCTATTGGAGCTTAAGTTTTAGAATACACTTATGATTTAATATGGGGTTATAAGAAGTACTTCTATATCTTTGTTTTGTGAAATATTGAATAAAAGACTTAGTTTTCTGCTAAACATTTTTGTTAATGATTCACAAATTTTGTCAACTGACTGGAAATGAGTTTGAGGAGCTGTAATTCATATAATAATGAGAAATTTTTATTTTAAAACATTTAAAATATTTTAAATATTATTATAAATATTATGTTTATTAAATATTTTTAATGATTTATTTATTTTGAGAGAGAGGAGGGAGGGGCAAGGGGAGAGAATCAAGCCAACTCTGCTGAGGGAGGATCCTGACAGGGGGTTGGA